AAAAATCACTGACAACAATATTGTTTAAGCAAAGAAAAAAAAAAAAACGGTGGTATAAGTAACCCAACCCCTATTAGGATAACGTGTTTCGAAATTTATATTAGCCGTTCACAAGAGTCATACCAATCGACATCGATATTATATTGGAAATACAGGTCGATATTATAGCTGGAATTTTTTAAAGAAATACGATCTGATTACTTTTTGTCCACAGTAGAATGCAACAGTGGCAGTGCAACTTGATATAATAATTTTAATGTGCAAGAGTGAAATTTCAATTGTTTTTGTTTTTGAAGAAATTTTATTTTTTAAAAATTATTAATAAAATAAAATGTAAACTAATTTCTTATCTTCAAAATTTTATTCAATATCCATTTCATCGACTCGAGAACGTACACGATTTTTTCGTTTATTTTTTTTGGATTTCGGTGGTAGAAAGTTTTCCAAAAATTCGATGGTATTACGTATGGTATCGGCACTAACATTACCTATATGATCACGATCAAAAAATATGACAGGCGCTGATTCGGTCGCCGCCTGTAAGTTTGCACATTCACATTGTCTTTTCGGAGAGACGGTAATAATCTCCAACCTTTCAGCTGTTGGAGTAGCGGTAGCTAAAAAGAAAAAAAATCGTAGACAAAATATATATAAAGAATTTGAGTACATTTTTTTTTTATATAGCCTGGGCTATAAGTGACAAAATGCTGCAATACGTAATATTTGCCATAAGACGTTGAGTTTTTACAAAAAAAAAAAAGAAACATAAATTTTCACTTTCTGCGCAATTGCGAAATTTTCCTTCTCCTGTTCCATGGCAACTAAAAATAGTGGTTAGAACATTTTTCTCATGCTTCTAATGCGACGATTACAAGATACATTGACAATAATTTCATCCTCATGGAAAATCTTACGTATCACACTTAAACAGTTTGTGACTTATAGCCGATGTTGTCTTTGAAGTGAAATTGTTTGGATGATATGAACAAATGTGTAAATTGTGATTATTAACCAACAAGTGATGAATGTTTCAGTTGACTGACGATCTGCAGAGCAATAAATACCAAATTGACAAAATTGTAAAGTTTACACACTTTGTATTAAATACTCATTAGTACGTATGTCAACTTCCATTATTATACCCTACACCACAATCGCAAATTACAATATATATTAAGCTTGTGTAGACGTTTGTAGTACCCAGAAAGGGCGTAAAGCAGACTCACCTTTTATTATACTGATCGATTCAGAACTATTCGTTCATTTCAGAATCATTTTCCATATCGATTTTAACTTGTCTGTCCATCTGTCTGTGTGATGTCTGTCCATGTATTTTTGTGTTCAAATTGGTGCACTTACTCGTTTTGACTCAAGGATGAACTTTATTGTAAATGGTTCGGATCGGTTAACTTTTTTGGCCACTCCCTATATAACACCAGCTTTTGAAAAGTCGTTATATGGATAAATTGCAACATTCAAAATCGGACAAAGATCGGTGAGTACTAATGTTTTCGCGTTCTAAATTGGTGGCCGGGAAATTTTTTAACCCCCTCTCATATAACCGAAAACTAAACATTTATATGGTACAGAGGTCTAATTTTCTATATTTCAACCACATCGGATTTGGACCATGTAAATTTATTTTTGGGATACCTTCGCATAAAAAGATTTTTAGAAAATGTAAACCCTTATATGCCTATAAGGCCTGATTGGAGATGTTTTATGGCGAAAATTTGTGTAAGCTAATAATTTCAGACAAAAATTAAGTGGACCAAACTTGTCCAAATTTTGTGGAGGTAACTTTTATACCATATTATTATTATGGATCAGCTTCCACCATAACTTATTAAATCTTAGTCTTTTTTGCCCTAAAAAATAAAAATTTCGTAAAAGTCCTTACATGGGATGGGATTCAAAAATAGGTATCGGTGGTCCACATTTGGTGTAATCCATTTTTTTTATCTTAAATTACTATTATAGGTTTAGTTTTATCATAACATATTAAAATTCAGACTTTCTGCCTTATAAAGAATCAAAAATAGGCCGAGATAGTCCAAATTTGATAGAGTGAATTTTTTTTATCTTAAATTACTATTATCGGTTCATTTTCATTGAGAAGCATTGAATATTAGGCCCTTTTGTCATATGAACTTTAGTTTTCGTTAAATGAGAGGGAGTTCAAACAATTTCCCAAGCCGATCCATAGTTTTCACATCAATTAAAAATATCGAAATATTATTACTTGGCCATTTTTGCCCAGATATTTTGAAAATTCCCATTATTTACATATATCCACCTTCCATAATAGGGCGTTACTAAGGGAAATGGGTGAAATATCCTAAAAATTTTCAAAAGCGTTTTTCCTTGGTCCAAAACGGCTGAATGTACCAAATTTTATCAAAACATCTCAAAAATTTTGACTTATAGCTTGAACACAAATTTGCATAGAGATATAATAGACGGACAGAGAGGCTTAGTAAATGCTCCATCTATGTTAAGCGCTTCTGCGTGTTGCATACCTCAGCATAAACTTAATATACCCTATATAGATTTAATTAATTGAATTTAAACTATAAGCAACTTTCTGTGCAAGGTAAGAACTTCCTTTCTGAGTGTGAGCCTGTGAGGCACATCGGTTTATGATATATTATATATATATATATGTATATTAGGGTTGATCAATGCACTAAAACCCCATTTTTCCATTCCGCTCTTTAGGCGTAAGCAAATTATAACTCGTAAACAAACGATAGACGTTGCTACCTCATAAAAATAATATGGATTTTTTATCACTGCCAACTTCATTGTGTTAATTCCAGTAATCTAAAAACCGATGTATTAGTAATAATAATTAGCAACTAACGAAATGTAATTTGCTGAATACTTAGTAATAAACGTGTACTTAGTAAAAAGGGGGATAATTCGGTTTAGAGTAACGTCAACAAGAAATCCTGCTTCGACTCGAAACCGCGAGTGAATGGACATACATTTATGCTTCCTTGTGCAATTGTCTGAGGAAAAATATGGCCAAAGTAAAATATTCTTCATCTTCTTAAACATAAACTTTCCAACAAAGTTCGAGCAGAGCTTTTGAAAATGATCTCAATCTTTTAATCTCTCATGCCGCTGCTATCGAAATATTTTTTCAAAAAATTACAAAATTCACAAAATATACAAACAATAACACACAAACGCCCAAACAAACTAATAAAATGCATACACCGGAGTGTAAAAGGATCGATCACTAACAGCAAATAGGGTAAAACAAGGTAAAATTAAAATTCATCCTCACTTACGTAGAGAACCTAAAAGAGCCAAAAACTTACTTAATAAAACCAAAAGACAAAAGAAAGAACAAAAAGAACATCATTAAAACTTACTATTTGGACGAAAGCATTCCTTGATTTGTATCCATTTCTGACAGAACTGTTTAATGTATGAATCATTTTGACTGAATAGAGTTCTGGCAGCGGCGTCAACACGATTTTGCATGAATGGTGGTATGAATGGCCATTTCCCTCTGGCGGCAAAAAAACAAATGATATCTAAACCCATGATAACGATGATGATGATGACGACGATGATGATGATGATAATGATGATGATGACGATGATGTCAACGACAACGACAACAATTATCAATGTGGTTGCGATGAAGAATTTTTAAAGCAATAAAATTAAAAAAAGGTGAAAAAGAAAATAATGGTATGGAAGTATGAAAAAGCACGGATACGAGCTTTAACTTAGTACTTACATGGAATTTTAAATATATGAAAAAAACTACGATTCATTTCCAGATTTTTTATTGCATGTATACCAGCAGCAGGATTCTTCATATGCAATGGAGAGATTTCTTTTGATTTACGATAATGTTCCACATTAGGTGTTAGGCCAAAAGGAATTTCCTCAATTCGAACACTTTTCATGTAGGCTTCCGTATAAAGTAATTCATCGATAAATAATAATATAAAAATCGGTGTCATATACCGCAAGATTTTATTTTTTAATTTCATTATTTAATTGTTTTTATTTATTTATTTTTTTTTATTATATATGCATATGTGTATATATTTTTAAAAAAAAAAAATTTTTTTTTTTTTTTTTAAATTTATTTCAAACGAACGGTGGTAACATGTGAAAGTATAGTGGAAAACTGAAAGTATGAAATTCAGAAATTGTATCCTGTAGATGTTTTGCATGACATTAAACATCGCATGACTATTAGGATTTTTTACATTTATTTTATTTTAAGGATATAAACTCGTGCTTCTAACAATTAATTACAGATGCGTGGCTTATGTATAAATATATGCACATATCCACATGTATATTTTAATGCATAATATTTTATCAAATGACTTTTTAGTAGACCTGTAACACGGCTCTGTTTGATATCCAAGCACTTAGAGTAACATGTTTAATGCATATAAGAAAAGTTGACCTATTCTCATGTTATGTTAAATGGAAATTCAAGAAGCATGGGAATGCATTTATCTTATCGTTTTGTTTTTAGCAACCACGGATTAAGTTCTTTAATTCTAAGCTCTTTAGTCGGTGCCTACATGAATTTTGATCAGTGACATCTATTGGTGAAAACGATCAAGTATTACGAAAGATCCATGTAGGCAACAGTTAAATTCGTTGACTTTGACCTTTTTCTACATAAAATAACCGTTTTCCATTAAATATTATTGAGGCAGTCACTTCATGCAGACTCTAGTTATGCATTTTCGACATTCATTACTTTTATTGTTTGATTTGAGGAAATCTACTGCCGAAGCTCATCAAACACTTTTAGAAGCTTATGGTGAACGATTTGCAAGATCAAAAAATGTTAAAGACAATGAATTACAAGATTTAATGAATGGAAACCCAACTCTCGAAGAACTTTCTCGAATTCTCGAAGAACTTTCGAATAGCTTAGCAGTTGATGAATCAACATGTTTGAACACATTTACATGCCATGGGAAAGATCCAAAAGGTAAGAAAATGGCCGTCATATTTGATTGTATACGAATCGTTTCAACGTCGCAGTTTTATTGCCTGCCGGGAAAAAAAAGAAAAGTTTCCGTAGCGTAGTGCGATGGTCGATGAAAAGTGAATCTGTGAACTGTGACTGTAGATGTTGACCAACGTTAATTGAACCTATGGAAAGATGTATTTTTGCAAAAATGACCAGCAATAGCGATTAACAGGGGCAAAGTCATCCTGTTGCGTACCAACGCTTGGCCAAACGAGTCGGCTGTAAGAGTTATCAAGCATACAGTGATGCAGCTCGAAAGGGAAGTTCTGTCGCATCCATCATACTCACAATACATAACGACTTCTGATTACCACATGTTCAGATTGGTATAGCACTGGACGGTTTCGGAATGCTGAAGAAGTGCGAAAATATGTCAATAATGGGATCGCTGCCAAATCAATATTTTTCTTTCGACACGGTTTACTGAAGTGAAGATAGCCCAGCAAGTAAACCACATTTTTAAGGTTCGTGTTCTTATCGAAAATTTTTATAGTTTTCATGAAAACCTAAATCATCAAATCATCAGGATTTCGTAGACATTATGAGACAATATTGACAGCTGACATAACAACAAATGATAAGTAATCTTTTTTTTAATTAGATAAATCACTTCTTTATAAAAAAATCGAAAATAGAAAATATCTCATCGCTGTACTTTATCACCCACCACATTTAAATTTGACATAACTTAACTGCCAAAAGTAATGTGAAGTTTAGCATTTCACACATGATTTATTTGCCTGTGGTTATCGAGGTGCGTTCGAAAACGCACAAACTAACGTTTTTGTATAATATAAAGTGGAGCCGTGGAGTGGAGGAATGTAGACAATCAGAAACAATATGCACTTAAGGGTTAAATATGCTTCCATTAATAACAATCGTTAACGGGCTTGACACTAATGTTCGCCACAGCCACTTAAAACATCAGATTAACGCATTTAGTTAGATATCCATGGCTATCCATGGTTCGCCTTAATGTAAATATTGCATTCATATTTGTTTCTAGTATGTTGAAGGGCTGAACGCAATTGTACACCAAAGGCTTTTCAAAGCCTTTTTTTTATTAATTACATGCCTAACCTATTTAGCTTAACATAGATTCATAAAAAAAGTTAAATTTAAAAACAAGTTAATTTACTTAGACAAACTTCTCTGGCCATTTTCGGTATTTACGTACGAATAGCTAGAAAGTCAATCGCATCTGCATAAGCCAATTACAGAATGTAATGAATTTAATGCTTTAAATATGCGATATGCGATATTTCTCACATGCACACTATGATATGTATAAGAATTTAAAAGAGAAGCGAAAAATGTTTCATCGACTGCCTCCAATTTAGAAGCAGCCTGAATACAGGCAATAAAGAAATTCTTTTAACAAATCCCAAAACTTTCTCATAAATAACCAGAGAGAGTAAAAAATTGAATTACATTTTCTCAAAGAGAAATTTGATCGTCACACTCCTTCTTCTTAATAGAGAGAACTAACTCAATACAATATGCCAGAGAAAACTAATTCATATCGTCAACAAGCTGCATGGCTATGTATAAATTCACACTAGTGTAGGATATATCTGGTCGTGCACTCTGTGAGCTTACGGCACTATGGAACGTCAATGTAAAAAAGCAGAATTAAGAGAATTGTTGCCCATGCATGTAAGCGAGAAGGAAGAGTAAACCATTAAGTATTGTTTAACTGCAACAGCGCTGTAACTGTTAAATAATACTCTTAATGACGATAGCATTTATCTAGCTAGCATATCTTGTTGAGTAAGCTTACTCTCTGGTAGTAATGCCATATTTTCCATTTTCCTTTAAGTTAGGAGTGAGCATATTATATGAGTCGGAATCTTCTGGCCATGTGTCCCTTGACAAAATTCATTTACTATAAACATTTGTAAAACCTCAAAAAACAAATTAAGATACATATACATATACAATAACTTTTAATATAAAGTACTTGCAAAGAAATTGTCCTTCGCTGCCTGGCTATGAATACTACTTATTACCCCACCACCTTGCTTGTGTATATTAAGTTTTTTCACATGTTAGCAATATCCCGAAAGTCTTGAAATTAACCCATCTGTTATTATACGCGACCTATGCAGCATCATAAGCCAGTCTATTCAGCCGTCTGTCTGTCTGCCTGTCTTGTCCTCTTGTGTTCAACTTGCACGCCTAATTTTTGAGATATTTTGATGAAACCACAGACGCGTTTTGGCCCAAGCATGACAGTTATCCAAACAGGTTGGAATCGGACCAACTTTTCGAGCACTTCCTATATAATCCGTTATTTTCAAAAGTTGACTCATGGATAACGGTAAGGGGACGTAGGGCCGTGCCCCAACATAAGATTGTTAGTTTTTTTTTTTTTTGTTTTCTCTAAGATCAAAACAAAGGCGCATGGCTACAGCGAAAACTCTTCTCAAATCGGGAAACATGTCGACAGTTTTGTAGCAAATACGACTTGGAGCTATTTGCTTTTTAAAAGAAATAATTTTACCCCACATCAAGAAGACCTTCTCAATAATATTCAACATTGGCTAAATTTTTCAAAAATTTTCTCAAAGGTCAATTAGAATGCAAGAACGGGTGGGCACAAATTGCACCTAATCAAAGGTGACCTAATTCTTCGACAGTCCTCTAATTCCGTAATACATATACGAAGAATATAGAGAATACATATAAACGAGAAAAGAACAGTTTTCGCTATAGTTACCATCCGTCTATATCTCTATAAGTTTTTTTGTACACTCAGAACCGGTAATAACCTATAGCTTAGAGCAAATATTTACTAAAATTACTCAAAGAGATCTACGGAAATGAAATTTGAGGTGAATCATTTTGTAGAATTAACGAACCTGAATTCAAAATCTGTCATTTAATAATCGATAAAAGCTAAGGCTGTCCATATTAATATACGATTCGAATTTATCGATTGCACGCCATTTAAAAGAAACGTTATTGCGTCTACTGTTAGTTCGCGCCAAATAAAATATGAGCTTTTAAGCATATAAAAAAGCTTGTGAGGCGGGTAAGATGGGTGAGATCGATTAATAACAGTTACGATCATCATTAGGCCAGTCTGCTATCTATCTATTCATCTCTTTTTAAGGAGGAATTTAAAGAATTGTTTAGAGAAATCAACGAAACACGTCACAAGATCACTTGGTTGCTGGAAAGTGAATAAGTTCGGCGAAGAGCGTTCTCTGTACGTTTCTTTTCTTCGAGCTACCGGATAAGAGAGTAATGCAAAGTTTCGCTAATAAAAGATATATTGTCACATCATTGTCATAAAAATTGAAATATAATTTTAGATAAGGAGCGAGTTTTTTTTATGACTCCCGATAGCGAGTAAACTCGATAGCTGTGAAGGCGTAAAGGGATAAAGTATGCATTTTTCTTACCATCGAATAAAAAATCTTTCGATCGTAAACTTGTGTCGAGTGATACTTTCAAATTACAACACCGAGAACCTTGTACCGGGCATAGACGTAAATAAAACAAACACTTGCAGCTTTTATTAGTTAATTTAATCCATTTTCCAAATAATTTCCTTTTAATATATTTTTTTGTTATAATGGTATTGCGAAGCTTTACACGATATATATAATAAAGCTTTACGCCGATGAAGCACACGTCTGCGGGTAAGTGCTTGCTATTCAAGGTGAATTTTATTTACGCAAATAAAAATCTTTTAAGAACTTACAGTGCTATAAATGCATTTCTGGTGTTTGTAATGAAGGGGAACAAATTTTATCATACGACTTAATTTATAAATGAATTCAGTTGTTTTTCTCATTCTTTAGGAACTCGTAAATTACTGAAAAATCTTTCGAACCATATCCGCGAGACTTAAGAGTGCGATATATTTGATGAGCCATTGCCCCCATTGGTATGGGTGTATTCGAACTTGTGGCGATACCAGAAGCTAAACCTAAATCTTTGGTTATTAATTCGGTGGAAAATCCCCCAGCGTAACCTTTATTGGCAGGTGCGGTAGGTGTTATACCGGGCACGGGATTGTATACTTCAGAGGACCAGCAGCGTCCTGTAGAAGAGTTCACAATGTCCGAGAATGTTTTTGGATCCAAGCCAAGGCGTATGGCCAAATTCATGGCCTCAGAAACTCCGATCATAGATATGCCCAAAAGCATGTTATTGCATAATTTAGCTGCCTGTCCCATGCCATAAGAACCACAATGTGTAATACGTTTACCCATGCCTTCCAAAATGGTTTTAACGCATTCGTATTCACTCTCAGTGCCGCCTACCATGAAAGTCAATGTAGCATTTACAGCGCCCGGAACTCCACCCGAGACAGGCGCATCAACAAAACGCCCCCCTTTCGCTTTAACTAACTTCTGCACTTGTTGAGCTACATTTGGATCAATAGTGGACGAATCGATGAATACCGTATTTTCATTTACTCCATTAGCGGTCATTTCTTCATAAGTTTTCCAGACAATATCGTTGTTTGGCAGCATAGTAATAACAAAATCTGATTTGCCGGCCAAATCACTGGTCTTGTCGTATACAGTAGCACCTTGAGCTTTCATTTTACCGGCCGCTTCTTTCGAAACATCGAAAACATGCAATTTATGTCCACTCTTCATCAAATTTGAAGCCATGGGTCCGCCCATATTACCTAACCCGACGAAACCAATGTTTTTCGAGTTTGCCTTGCTAGACATGGAACGACATGCTGTCGTTACACCCATGGCATTGAAACGCGACATCAAACATATCACACGTAAAGCCATTTCTTGATTATGTTTTACTTAAAGTTTTATCAAAAAGAGCAGCCAAACGATTATATAACTTAAAATTTGTCGAAAGCTGAAAGCAAAAGAAAAAAACCATTAATTTGATGTAAAAAAATGCAATCAGAATCTTTTATACCTTCGCTACGTTCAATATATGAAACACGATCGCTATTGTTGACTGTTGAAAGCACACTAAACGTGAGAGATAAACATTAACGTGTAGCTGAGTGTATTCTTACATACGCATATATGAATACATGTACTTGAGAGGCAATTTCACGGCTAGGAAATAGTTGTCTGATAAACAAAAATACACAAAAAAAAAAAATTAAAAAAAATAAAAAACACACCATTCAATCTCTTTTCCTACAGATTCACTCGATGCGTAGACTAAAAATTGATTTCAGTTCACAACCGGTTAGAATTTATATCAATTCTCAGATCACCTCATCTGCTCGTATATGTTTTCTAATCACGTCATTAAATTCATATCTCATATTTAAAACAACAGCGAAAAGCTCGAATGTTATAAAACCTAATCTACACGTTATGTTAATCTCAAAAGAGCCCGGGAGAGCTATGGTGAATATTAGTAATTTCTTACATTTTCTCTCAGATAGCTTTTTGAACGAAAACCCCTTTTATTTTATTCACCTCTGTCTGAATGCTGAATTTATTTTTGCGTGGTAAAGTTTGTCACGATAGTTAAGCATTTTATTTATAGCTTTTCAGATTAGCTGCGAGCACAAACATTAGTTGACCCAATAGGAAATTGAATGGTTTCTTATGATGTGTTTTATATATATATTTTATATATCAATATATATATATATATATATATGACAGGTTGGAGGGAAAGTTCTGTCGTATTTTATTCATGCATATTGCTTATATATGTACATACATATATGTATATATATATATGTACATATGTAAGTTCTCTCGTATTTTATTCATGTATATTGCTTTAACGCAATTTCAAGATATTTAATGTGATCTCCAACATTTGTATTATTATAAAATTCGCTTTTCTAAGATACAGTCCGTATCACTGGGTCGTGGATATTTTGTTCAAGAGAAATTCATAGTTCTTTTATTTACAATCATATTTCTTATAGGTAGAATTATTCGCAATTTATTTTTGGCAATACTTTCGACTGTTCAGCTTAAATATACTTTTTCTACCAACTCTCCCTTCCACAAATATTCTATGGATATACATTTTTACCGTCATATTACTAGTACCTAATTTTATACTTTCATTTTTAATTCATTAACCTGCTTTTCTGGTACTCGTTTTCCTCGGCCGGCCTGTTTTTCCTCTTAGGGGATTTGATTACTTGGCTGGAATGAACAGGACTTGGGATTTCCGTAACAGTATGATGAATGCTTAACTCTTCCGCAATTTGTCGACTTTTTAGATGTGGATTATTAACTATCATTATCGATCACTTTCTTGGATGCTCAGATCCCCGGAACGAAATTTGCCAGTTTTGACAAGTACGAACATTTTCAATATCTTCTCCAAATGCCGCACATAATCAAGCAATCAAGCGATGCGTTGCTTCCTTTTTCATACAAAAAGCAGGGTCATAAAAGCACTTTATCTACTAATGGTAAAAAAAGACTCCTTTTATATCATGCAGCAGCTAAAAAAACAAAAAAAAAAAAAAAATCCGAATGACTCACCAGCGAGATGTTTTTTATTTACAAGAAAAATTACCTGTCTATTTAAAATACGGTAAAACTTTTTCTCCAACCTAATATATTGGCAGAGTTAATATTTAAAGCTAATACGATATGCTTGAATCGCGTAACTTGCTGTAAAAACCAAAATTCATATGACATCGTCTTATTTATATTTTCCTAACAGTAGATAGGTCTTGAGACTAATTTAGTTGCTTTCCTGTCATAACACGAAATTTTCATAAATAAATTGTTGACCAAGATTCTAAGCAAAGTCTTGTGATGGCAATCTAAGAAAGAAAGTCATAGGTTTTGTTGCTGATTGTGGGCGGGCCAGGTTGAAGGTTGAACTTGGAAAAAGCGCAGAAAATTAATTGTGCGCACTTGAGATTGTAGCTTGATCATGTCCTTTTTCTCTCTCTTATTTCTTTTCAACAACGGGTTATAGACGTAGGTGCGGACAGGTCTACCAATAAAAATCGCTTGTAGATTTATGCAAATTATTGTCATTAAATAGTGAACCAATCTAAGATGTATTATAGGATTTTTAAAGCCGTATATTCCATTCCAGCTTCAAGTGGGGTTTCTTCCTATCAAACGTTCCTTTTAGTAACGAAATCGCTTAGTGCCTTGTGAATTTTTGTATAAGCTGCTCACACAGCATTATGTAAAATACTACTTTAGAGACAGACAGACAGAGAGAGAGAGAGAGAGAGAGAGAGAGAGAGAGAGAGAGAGAGAGA